GGCTGGGGCCAAAGCCCCATAGCAAAGGTTCCCCCATTTAATTCCTGCAACCGCCGGGGGAGAAAAAGCAACAGAAATAAATCTTGGATTCGGAGTGGACAGGACTGTCTCAGGAGCCCCAGATGTAGAGCTGGGTGGATCGGCTGATTATGTGCCATCAAGTCAATCTCGACTCTTAGCAGCCTGTCCCCACCCTGGTCCTTCAGCTCTTCCCACAGGGCTCCCCTCACTGCTATAACGGAGTCTGTCCCCCTGGCCACTGGTCCAGGGTGCTAATGAAATAGGGGAAGGTTGCAGCTGCTGTGTCTAAGGTAGACATTGTTTTTGTGAAAATGACGTCTTCTGCCATGAGAACTGAGCTGTGGCTTCCCTACTTTTCCACCTGGAACAGGAGGAGCGTGGGGTCAGGCTGGTGGCCAGGAAGCCAGGCGGGATGTTCCTTTACCCCTCAAGCCACCAAAGAAGCCGCCGAAGTCAGGTATGGTTTGGGGGACCTGTGCCATTGCGTGGAGACGTTATTTTCAGCCAGCCGTAGACGTGACAAGCTAGTTCCGTCTCTCCAGATGTGTTGGAGTTCAGGTCGTAGGAGGCAGCTCAGGAGATGGTATCCAAGGGGCCTTGAGCTATGAATCCTGGTCTCTCTCTCTCTTTTTTTAAAAAATAGGGATTCTAGTCCTCATGATTCTGCCAATTTAAATGAGAACATTGGATGTCATATGCTAAGGCAGATTATGGGCCGGGGGCAGGATCTCTGCTAAGCTTGAAGAGGACTAAGGCAAATATCTCTTTGTGGTCTTACTCTGCAGTTTGAATTTGGGGATACAGGTAGTCCTCGCTTAATGACCACAATAGGGACCAGAAAATTCATTGTTAAGTGGGGTGATTATCAAGTGAGTTGCGCCCAAGTTTATGACCTTTTTTGCAGTGGTCATTAAGTGAATCACCATGGCCGTTAAACGAATCACACGGTTATTAAGCAAATCATGCAGTTCCCCATTGATTTTTGCTTGCCGGAAGCCGGCTGGGAAGGTCGCAAATGGCCCTGGGACACTGCAACTGTCATAAGTGCAAGCTGGTTGCCAAATGCCTGGATCACAATCACGTGACTGCAGAGATGCTGCGACGGTTGTAAGTGCGAGGATTGGTTGTAAAAGTCCCCTTGTTCAACACTGTTGTAACTTCGAACAAATGGTTGTTAAGTGAGGATTACCTGTACTCCTGAGTGCACCGGAATAGGTCTGATTATATTTCAATTCCCACTAAACTCTAGCATGACTGAGAACCAGCCACACGGTTTGGCTGCACTCACATCGCATGTTTAAGCCAATCAGCTGCAAAGGCCAGTTTAGCCTAGCCTGGCGAGTAGTGAAGACTGGAGGAGGCCATTTCATTGAATGCTGGAATGGGAAGGTTGGAGGAGATCTCTAAGATCATCTAGTCCAACCCTCTGCCTAAGGCAGGGATCCACCACTACCGCATCCCCAACGGATGGTCCTCCAGGCTCAGCTTAAACATCTGTGTCCCCTGGAGAATGGGAATCTATTCTGAGCAAGGACTCTGAAGCCACCCGTTGTAACTTCGAAACGAAGAGGCCATATTGTAAGAAATAAATGGGGGACAGCTGAAAGTCAGCTCCTGGGCCTTTTAGAGAGCTTGTCAAGGGGGCAGGAAGGAAGGGCCTGCAGGTGAGCATCCATGCAAAAGCCACCGAAATGAGGACCAGAAATAACAGATGTAAATTGCAGTGACCCGGATTTCATTTCAATATGCAGAAAAACTTTCCCAAGGTAAGATCTGTCCAAGTGTTGAACAGGAGGCCGTAGGTTCTCCATCTCTGGAGGCTTTAAGGAGGAGGCTGGAGAGCCACCTCCCTGGTTGGATCGCTTTTCCTGCACCTGGCAGAGGGTTGGACTGGATGATCTTTGGGATCCCTTCCAACACCCCCCGTGATATCTTCGGGAACCTTGCCTCGGCAGGGCAGCCTTTGGCAGACCCCCTTATCCACCTGCACAAAACTCGCTTCTCTCTATTTATCGCACTCTGAAGTTGCCAGAGACCTGGCACGGCTGGCCCCAAAATGCTCCGTCTGCAAAGCGTCTTTGCTTTCTCCGTCTCCTAAAGGCAGCCTCCCGCATAGTAAATCTGCCCCCAAGCCTGGTGTGCAATCGGCCACCGAGGAGCCTCCGTTATCCAGAAGCCTCACCGGCGGTAAGTAAGTTTATTGCATATAAATCCACTCACGGGATTCTACCAATATGTAATTTATTTTGTTTAAGTGTTTATTTATTAACCCCATTTATATGGCCGCCCATCTCACAAAAAGCGACTCTGGGCGGCGTACGATAATCAGTAAAGCAACAAATACACGCCAGTACAAATCCATAGAAACGCTCATTATAAAAATATAAAAAGTCCTTATTAAGAAGAAAAACATTATCAAAAAATTGAAATATACACACTGCACGGAGAGAGTCAGAAGGTCAGCCACAGTGGAGCCATCTAAGGTTGTCTCCGGTTCCCTTGTGACATAACCAGGTCTTGAGGGACTTCTGAAACAATAGCAGTTAATCTTCCAGGCTGGCCTATGCCTGTTTCAGCTTCAAGTCCCTTTGCTCACTTTTGCTAAAGGATCTGGCCATTCTGGTAAGGCTTCTTTAATTTACAAAATTTAAAGTGGCACTCATCTATACGAGCCAAATTCAATAGCAGTTTTGTCCAGCCAGGGAAAAAAAGAGGGGGCCCCGACTCTTTGCAAGGGGTCAAAATGTGTAGGGCTCCGAGTCAACATTCGAAGGGCAAAACATGTAAACTCAATTATCTGTTGGCCTTTGAACGTAAAGGCAGGGAGGAGAGAGGCGCATGCCGACTTGCAAGATGGTTGTCAGCCCTTCGAGGTAGTCCAGACCAGGAAATTAAAGTTATCGATGCTAATGCTCCTTTATAAGGTTACCGTAACAGAATCTTGCCAGTCTGAATGCGCATCTCCCCTCCCTGACTTTACGATCAAGGGAACTAGGGAGGGTCCAGTCTGAGACGCTTTCTCAAATTACGTTCCTGCTCTGGACTCCCGTTTCTCTTATCTGACCATTGACTTGGTTGCGGCTCTTCCTCCTGTTCCTCAAGGGGATTCCCATAGCCCATTTACACAACCTTCGGTTTCTAGACGGACGTCTTTAACCACTATATCAAACAGGCCCTCCATTGATTAGATTTATTAGATTTCTATCTGGCCTTTGATACAAGAGTTCAAAGCAGCATAGAAAGGGCTCCCTCCCCTTATTTTCTGCACAACGACAACCTTGTGAGGCAGGATGCCCTGAAGAGGAGGGACTGGCCTGCAATCCCCCAGGGAGCTTTAGTGGTTAAGGGTGGATTTGAACCCGGGTCTCCTGTCTCCCAGCTCAGCACCTTCCCCAGTCCCCGCTCTGGCTCTTACAGAACAGCATCTTCAGGGGGTGTCAAGGGGGAGCAGAAGAACAAAAGCATCCGTGTGTGGTTGTGAGGCAGGCAGGACCCTTTCACGGATCAAACACCCCACACATCTAGGAATGGGGCAGAGCTTGCATTGCGCTGGTGCATTTGGATAAAAGCTGGGGAGGGCTGTCCACGGGGCATGGTCAAAAAACTCAAGATCCAGCCTCTAGGATTCATGCTCTGGGGGAGATGGGCGGCATATAAATTTAATAAAGAAAAGAAAAGAATAAAAGAAAAGAAAAGAATAAAAAGAGAAAAGAATAAAAGAATAAAAGAAAATGGCTATGCCATCAAAGCCCCACCTGCATGATGCATCGTACAATCCCATCTAGATCTCCCCCTGAAAGTCAAACACAAGGGGGAAAATAGCTTAGGACAGGGTTCCTCAACCTTGGCCACTTTAAGACGGGTGGACTTCAACTCCCA